CATACTGAAACATCCCAGTCTTTTCAGTAAAACATTCACTATTTACTGAATTGCTTCACTCGCAGTCTAGTCCACAATTTACATTGCTATTCTCTATATAGTATTGTTACAAAGCACAAAATAGCCATGATAGAGCAGTTGAACTCATTTTTCTTCACTGCGTTACTGGTTGGCGCAAAGTTTCCATTGCTTTGTGTCTGGGTGGGCAGTGGTTTCTGAGTCACACTCATTGGTTTTAACACACTCTTATTTAAAACTCTCTAAATTTGTCCAGACTGTCTGGTTGAGTAATCTTCCTGTAGTGTGTGTGTGTGTGTGTGTGTGTGAGACTAGTTACCACTTTGAAGTGAAGCTGCACAGTTGTCTTTTATGCCTTCTTGCTGAGCCATAGTTTAGTGTGCAGTTGTACACTGTGTATTTTTAATCGGTTCTGTTAATAGTGAAGGCACAGGCAGGGGGATTGGGGGTGGGGGTGTGTAGAGGAGGTGTATGATAGCAGAGCAAGGAGGAGGAATGGGGAGGGAAGGGGATAGTGAAGGGGAACAGAAATGTCAGGGATAAGAGGCTTGAAAATGGAATAGGTCACATGCTTGTCATGAGGGTGGTCAAATATGTGGAGGGTGGAGGGCTCTCTGACACTGGATCCCTGTGGAGCTTCATATTATGCCTGGGGAATAGTGCATAACCCCAGCATATAAAGTGTCTTATTTACTTCAGCAGTTATGGCTGCAACAACTGAATTCATACATATAGACCCCGCTTCCTCCACAGTCAACTCATCTTTATTTCAGCAATCACTTCCCATATACTTTGAAGAAGAACCACAACCTCAAATGTCAAGCCCCTCATTTTGTTGAACATTTAGCTTTGTGTCTCAACCAAATGTTTCTTTATTATCTCACACTGGTCTTTCTTCTCCTCCTATTCAGAGTCAGGATGCCTCACGCATACCCCTTCCTCACTCCTGAGCAGAAGAAGGAGCTCAGTGATATTGCTCACAAGATTGTCGCTACCGGCAAGGGAATCCTTGCCGCAGATGAGTCCACCGGTACATATTGTCAAGAAAATCAATTTAGCTTGAAATCTTATAAATTTAATAAAATGTGAATTAATATTAAAAAAAAAAAAAAAAAAACATCAGTAAGTCATTTAGGACAGCCAAACCTCATCTGAAAAATAACTGTTTTTGTATATAAAGCACATAACAGAGCTGGTGATGAGGAAACTATTCAAAAATGGTTAAATATTTAGGAACACAGTGGGTGCATGACAGAGACTGGCCTAATTGCACATTTCTGAGAACTAAACTAAACCACACCAGTGCAGTCAACAACTGGATCCAGTTTCCATCTGTCTTTTCTGTCCCCACAACCTCCAGGGAGTGTGGCCAAGCGCTTCCAGAGCATCAATGCTGAGAACACTGAGGAGAACAGGAGGCTGTACCGCCAACTCCTCTTCACCGCTGATGACCGCATCGTCCCTTGCATTGGTGGTGTAATCCTCTTCCATGAGACCATGTATCAGAAGGCCGACAATGGCAAGACCTTCCCCCAGTACCTCAAAGAAAGAGGCATGGTTGTTGGTATCAAGGTTGACAAAGGTGTTGTCCCTCTGGCCGGAACCAATGGCGAGACAACCACCCAGGGTGAGCAAAGAATGGACTGAAACACACATCAACATCTTATAATACCTTGGTCTAGCTTATCCAGTGTATCTCCTCTCTCTCTTTCACAGGTCTTGATGGACTGTATGAGCGCTGCGCCCAGTACAAGAAGGATGGTGCTGACTTTGCGAAGTGGCGCTGTGTGCTGAAGATCACCCCCACCACTCCCTCAAGGCTGGCGATCATAGAGAATGCCAATGTCCTTGCCCGCTATGCCAGCATCTGCCAGATGGTAAGACGCCATACACAGATCCTGAAACAGCATAAAGTCTTGACAAGTTTTGCACATTGTTTTTCAAGCTTTATCATGACTGAGGCTAAATAAAGTTACCTTTGACCTTTGAGCTTCAGCGTCAGATTCAAATTCAGACAGCTTTATTAATCCTAAATTCAATTTGACAGCTTTCCCAAAACATGCTCAAATAGCAAGGACAGATCAATGGGTGTAAGTTATCAGTAGTAAAACTATGGCAATTGTGTTTGCATTAGAAAACACAGATTTTCATTCTAATAGCTGCTTAAACACATCAAATGATGTGTCAATGGCGCCAGAAGCTTTATCACATTCTGTTACATGCACTTACTATATCATGAAAATAGCTGTATCACTTCTGGTTTTAGCTTTGTATGTTACTTGGGTGGGACTAAATACGATAACTCATAAACCACAGAACAGACAAGTGGATGTAAATGTCCCTGTAAGGTTACCATAGCTGTTTCAGTATACTGCCAATTCAAATTGTTGTTTTATATTCTGCTCAGAGTAGCTTGTATTGCTAACATAGTTCTTTTGATTCCTTTGGTCCCTGCCTTCCTCAGCACGGCATCGTCCCCATCGTCGAGCCTGAGATTCTCCCTGATGGTGACCACGATCTGAAGCGCTGCCAGTACGTTACTGAGAAGGTCCTGGCTGCTGTCTACAAGGCTTTGTCCGACCATCACGTCTACCTGGAGGGCACCCTGCTCAAGCCCAACATGGTTACCGCCGGACACTCCTGCTCACACAAGTACAGCAACCAGGAGGTCGCCATGGCAACTGTTACTGCCCTGCGCCGCACTGTGCCCCCTGCAGTCCCTGGTCAGCTGGATGCACAAATATTTCTTGCTGGCGTGCACATATTTGCAGACTTTGCAGACACAACAGTGTTATAAATCATGCTAATTTCCATAAAAACTGAAGTATTCATTGAATAGCCTGCATGACTTTTTTAAATGCCTACAGTAGTGTGTTGCTTAACTCTCATGGTTTTCCTGTATAGGCATTACCTTCCTATCTGGTGGCCAGAGTGAGGAGGAAGCCACCGTCAACCTGAACGCCATGAATCAGTGCCCTCTGCACAGGCCTTGGGCCCTGACCTTTTCATATGGACGTGCCCTGCAGGCCTCTGCCCTGAAAGCCTGGGCTGGCAAGAAGGAGAACGGAAAGGCGTGCCAGGAGGAGTTCGTCAAGAGAGCTCTGGTATGTGTGAATATAAGTAAAAATGTGAATGCAGTGTTAGTATCTAAGTCCTGAATTGTTCATTCAGTAATACTTCCCTGTGTGCATCTTACAGGCTAACAGCCTGGCCTGCCAGGGCAAATACGTTTCCTCTGGAGCCAGCGCTGCTGGTGGAGAGTCACTGTTCGTGGCCAACCACGCTTATTAAGCATGGACACTCAGCATTTCCCTTCACACCTTCTTCCCACTGTTATTACATCACCATGGAAAAGGCGATGTCATCTTAGACTCAGCAAATGACACTTTCTCTCTGCCACTGAACAACAGCACTTTTACCATATTTTAGTAGAAAGAAAAGAGAAAGATGGAAAACATTTTGAGGTATTGCTGCAGCTAGGAGATCCTGACAAAGTGTTCTGCCTCCATTCCCTTACCTTTTCTTTAAAAACACCTTTTTTTCAGGTGAAGATTCCCACACTGTTTTTACAGAGCCTATACTGTTTTTTCCTTGGTATGATTTCACCAAGTGCAGTATGCAATTTATACTGTTACCATGGAATAAAGTATTTACCCAAATGTGTTGCTTTATTTCCTTTTTGAGTCATTGTATTTTAAGTACAAAGTATTGTAAGGTTACATTCAAAGTGCAGTAAGAAGCTGACATCACTGTGGCCTGATAATATTATTCACTTCTTTTAACAGTTTTTTCTAAAATCAGAAAAAACAACTGACCTGAGTTGCTTAACTGAACCATTAAAGAAAATTCTTGTGATCTCTGTTAAAAAAAATTCTCTCTCACATTTGGTTTGGACTGAAATGGCCATTAAATACTGTATATCATGATGGTGGTGTGGATGGACATAACATATTGTTGGTGTCTACAGAGAATGAATACTAATGGTTTTGGTTAACTCAACTTAAAACAGCATCATTATCACCCCTAAAGTACAAAGCTGCAGGCTACATGTAACAGATAATGTATGAAATCAGGATGTGTTTTTGCTTATTTTACTGTTGTACTATTGCTGAGGCTACAGTGTGCATTTTCACAGTCCACAAACAAAACTCTGCAAACTTGTAGCCTACGTGTCATGAGTGCAGCGGAAATGACACCTAGAGATGTTAAAAGCATTTAAGTCATAATGCTCGGGAGGACACAGCATACAAACTATGTGAGTAGCTTACTGGACTGAAAAGGCCTTCATCTATTATAATAGTACAGCCATCGTGGTCCCACAAATTCACTAATGTTGGGTTAACTACCTTGTGGTTCCTAAGCCAAACCAGGTCTTACCATAGCAAACCTGAAGTCATCATTTAAGATTACATTTTGTTTGCTTGTTTTTAATATTAACTTATCTATTTTAAGCAAAGACCCTCATATTGTATGGTCATGACATACAGAGGTAGAAAGAAGCCTGTTGTGTCTGTGTGAAGTGTTAATGTACATATGCTAAATCACTAATGCTATGTTTTTACTTCATTATATTTGCTTGATGTCTATAGTGTAATAACTAACTGCTGTACACAATAGATACACATTTTAAACATGATATAATGGTAAGATCATTTATTGTGGTGTATTATTTCTGATTGAACTGAATTATACATCATCTTGTAATAATTTTCATATAAAATCCATATAAACCCACCTCAACATTAAATGGCTGATTATGCATTGGCATACAGTATTAACAATTTAACACTCAAAACTGACTAATTTCCATAGAATAAAGCACCAACAGGCACAAAACCATGCACCAAAGCTACAGTGTGATGAAAAACTCAACTAAAACCAACATGACATTATACCTAATTAGAAATGGAAACTTTGTTAAATGCCTATTTAAAGAGAAACACGATAGGAGAAGTAAAAAGGCCCCTAGCACATTTTAGCTCCTACTGAGCTAAAATGTGCTGCAGAAACACTGCCACTATGGTGACAATGAATAGAAACTCAGTTGCAATGGCTTTGGCTATGGAAGTTGGAGCTGGTGTGATTGCATGTGTGCTCAGACACACAGAGTTGTTGTCTGGATCGGTGCCGCTAGAAGTGAATGTCACAAAGATGACATTTGTCCCAGCCACGTGAGCTTTGATCCAAGCCTGGAACCGAGAGACTCGGGTATAAACTTCAGGAAATCCAGCTGTGGCACAAGGTACTCCATAGCTGGTGATGCCAGCCTGGATCCACACTGAGCCTTGTTTGCATTGCAAAGGTCCACCAGAGTCCCCCTGAAAAGGGGAAGACGAAACACAAAAAGTTAACCGGAGATGCTGCTTGCTTGCACAGAGTCAGACTGGAGTAATCTAGCCTAGCACATTGTCAGTGATAGTAACATTTTAACAGCAAAAATATAAAAGTGTAGTCTCATGCAGCTCCTTAAATCATGGTGAAAGTGTTGGTGAATGATATGAAATATTTTAATTGCATGTGTGAGTATATAGGAATTTATTCTTGTGAGTGTTAAGCAAAGAAAAAACTTTAGAACTAGTTAGTCATGCTACTAATGTTGCGTCATGGGGGGTTTAATTTCACCTGACAAGTTCCTTTGTTCACTTGCCCGGCACACAACATGTTGGCAGTGAGGTTTATTTTTGGTTCAGGGATGTAGTCACAGCTGCACTGTTTGTTTCCAACAACAGGAATCTGGACCTCCTGAAGGAAGTTATAAGCTTGATTTGGCTCTGTGAGAGAAAAAGTATGAAATCTGTTTGTTGTCTTCCAGTTTTAGTGATGCCAAAGTATTGATGAAGATAACTGAGTCTTACAAGCACAAAGGATGACAAGAAACTTTTGTTTTTTGTAATATTTTTTCACTAGGCTGCCTTGGTTTTAGCCCCAGTCAAGAAAACCCTAAACAGCAACTACTTTAAAAGGAGCAATTTAATAATAAATAATAATAGCTACTGACACAGAATGCCCTGACAGAAATGTGTTTGAATGCTTATTCTATATCCAACTCTACAACCTGAAAAGATACTCACCATTGCTTCCCAGTCTGCCCCAGCCAGTGGCCCAGCAGGAGGTGGAGGTGTAGAACTGGCTGGAGTTACTTGCCAGGCAGACAGGTCTGATGTAGTCATTGAAAGTGACACGGCTGCTGAGCTTCATTAGGGCAATGTCATTGTTGTTCCAAGTGTTGTTGTAGTTAGGATGGACGATGATTTGGGACACAGTGCGGGTCACCTGATTAGCATTAGGGCCACTCTGAGTCAATTTTCCAAAGTAGAGAGTCCAGACACTAGTTGAATTTCTGAATTGAAAATAAGATTCATGAAATCAGGCAGTGTACACGGTATATTAACAAGCTCTTACTGTAACTGCAGCATTTCAATTGTTAGATACATAAGCATAAAAGAAAATACTTTTTGATGAAATCCACAGTGTGAAAGTGCATTTTCAGACAAACACATTTCAGTGACTTCATTCTCTCAGATAGATCATCACTGTGAGTGGCTGGATATCTGTCATAATTTAGTTGCACTTCTAGTGATAGCAGATCTAGCCTATGTTTACATAGTTTGAATATCCGTTATGCTCTGCCTGCTCCAGAGAGATAAGATCGTGCGACCGAATTAACATAGAGTCATTTTTAGAATCCAGATAACTGATGTGAGAGCTAACCAGTTTATACTTTTTTTTACTGTAGTTAAATTTTATTGCATTTTTGGTTTGTTGTTTATGTAATCCCATAATTTTCTAATTTGTAATCACTAGGGGTGTGATGAGATCTCGTGTGACGAGATCTTGCTGTATTAAAATGTGATGATATTCCTCACTGAGGCAAAAGCTGTCTTGTGATATCAGTACATAACAGAACTGGAGCCAGTGTGACGCCAAAGCGACAGTATATTCACATTAGTCAGGCAAAAATGTAACCACTGATCTGTATAAATAACCTGGATTGCTGACCCTCTGCCGAGCTCCATTGGAGCCATGAAGCCAGTAAAGGACAAAATGTGTTAACTTGACTATAGATATTTACTGTACATGCTGTAAATGAGTATATCTTACTTTATGATGCAGTGGGCTGCTGTGAGGACCCACTGGTCACTGATGAGGGTCCCTCCACAGATATGATATCCGGTAAAGTGCACGCTGACCTGCCAGGGCCATGACCCAGCTGTGGCGTTCACACCACCCACTATCTTTGTGTTCAGAGGTGCCACACCACAGTCTGACAGAGCATAAACAACTGTGTGTCAGTACATGTACAGTTAGGTTAGGAAAATTCCTGTGTGAAGCTAAAATGTTTCTTGTTTATATCTGTTGGTCTATAGTTGATAAAGTTTATTTTTGTTCTCAAAAGATAGTTACAGTCCATCATCTAAGCAGTTACATCATCATGATGTTATAGAATATATGAAAAGTGACTGCACTTACCCTGAGCCTTTGACCCTGTAAGGGAGAGAGATGGAAAAGTTGCATATCTGTTCCTCAGTGTGTGTGTTTAATTATTCAACCCAGGAAATCCTGCCATGGTCAGGAGAATTATCAGTGTAGTAGCAATGTATAGCCATAGCCACAAGGTGGCACTAGAGCTCCAGCTGCTTCCTATAACTCTTTCAGAGGTGTGCAGTGAGTTTGTATTCATATATTAAATTGTTAAATTTACATTGTCACAAAAATTGGTTCAAACAGTTTCAGAGTGGCCCAAAACTTTTTTATTAAGTATTGCACATCAGCATTTTGGTTTGGTACATTAATTCCGTTTATATACTGTATGTAGTAGCAGTACATCAATAAGTTTGGTTGCAATGAGTCATAATGAAAACATGCAAATTTTTTGCATCTTAAAATGCGAAGGTGAAATATTGAGATTTAGAGAACATAAACATTCACTGGCAAACTGTAACTGAATGTTTTATGGATAGCTTTATATTGCAGGATTCTCATTTATCAGTATGTGCTTTTAAAGCTCAAGTCATGATGCAAACAAAGACATTTGCCTTTGACCCCTGAAAGTATTAAAGCTGAGAGTCCTCCGATATTCACAACACTTCAATTCTGATGCCCGCAACACATTCCAAAATAAAAGTTGGGACAGTAAAGCATTTATCACGGTGTGATGTTGCCGTTCCTTTTCACAACACTTGATGTTTAGGGACTGAGGACACCAAGTGATTAATTGTGTCAGGTGTCATTTTGTCACATTCTTCCTGCAAAGAAGTCTTAAGGTGCACAACAGTCCTGGGTCGTTGTTGATGCAATTTGCATTTCAGATCAGGACTACAGGCAGGCCGGTCCAGCACTCGTACCCTTCTCCTCCACAGCCAGGCCTTGGTAATGTGCAGTATGAGGTTTTGCATTGTCTTGTTGAAAAATATATGGGCGTCCCTGGAAAAGATGCCATCTTGAAGGCAGCATGTGTTGCTCCAAAATCTTTTTCAGCATTAATGGAGCCATGACAGAAGTGGAATTTACCTCTGACCACAGTACACGTTTCCACTGTGTGGTCCATCCCAGATGTCTCCAAGCCCAGAGAAGTTGACTGTGACTCTGGGCACTGACGTAGGTCTTCCTTTTGGCACAGTCCAGTTTTAAGTGGCATTTATGGATGTAACTGTCTGACACAGGTGTGCCAAAGTAATCTTGATCCCTTGTGGTTATATTGCTTATAGAAGAGTGATTCTTGGTGCAGTGCCGTCTGAGGGATCAGAGCACGGTCATCCAGCTTAGGCTTGAGCCTTTTAGGCTCTGAAATCCCTCCACATTCCTTGAATCTTTTAATATTATGCACTGTAGAGGGTGACGTATCCTAATCCCTTCCTATATTTCTTTAACGAACATTGTTTTTAAACATTTCAATGATTTTCTCACATATTTGTTGGCAAACCGATGACCTTTGGCCCATCTTTGCTCCTAAAAGATGAGGCCTTTTCTGGAAACCACTTTTGTACCAAATCATAATTGGAGTCACCTGCTGACATCACCTGTTTCAAATGGAATCATCACTTCATTGTTTTACCACATTACTAACCTGCCCCAGCTTTTGTCGGGGTGTGTTATAAAATAAAATAATCATAAAAAAAAAACTTTAAACACATTCCACCATAATCCAATTCAGTACAACATTATCATTAACTTCATCTTTAATAAATGATCATTAAGTTTAATTAAAACCTCCCTAGTAGACAAAAACAAAATTTCCAAAGAGAATGTTTAATGGTTTGAAATAGACTGTACAGGTGTACCTAATAAACTGGTAACTCAGTGTAAAAGCTCACCTTGCCCATTGAGGACCGCACACATCAGGAGTATCCAAACAGTCCAGGCTGCCATACTGTACCATCACAGTTTGCTTCCAATAAGTGCAGAGAATTTCTGTGACTTAGCTTTTATCTTGGTCACGTCTGACAATGCATGAGCAAAACTCAAACCAAACTTGTTTGTCTTGATACCTCAGATGTTCATTAAGCAATTTTATACTTGAAAGCCTGCATGCATTCCTCAAGACTTTACAACATATATTCCCAATAAATCATAAATTCTTTCTGAATACTGACGTATAGCTTCACATACCAGTGATTCCACAACATATCGTTTATCTTTGTCACTGGCTATTTACGTGCATGACTGCACATAGAGTAGCCACTGACCACACTAACCTGTTTTTCCAAATGCCCCATATAGCTTACATTAAGGAACACTCTCCGCATTTAATTTTTCAAATACTGCAGGTTGATGGTTCTGGTTTTAAAAAATTTATAAATTAATTTTAACACTATCAAGATTAAACACTTTTATTTAAAGAGCCTCTCGACAATAGTTGACTCTCCTCTTTGCACTAAACCCTCATGATCCTCCTCTTCCTCCCACCCTCCTAACGTGCCTTCAGTCCTTCAACAATGAAAATAATAAGTGTCAGATAAAGAAAGAAGAGAAAACATGGTGCTGAATCAGAGAAATGTGAACACAGAGCATCAAACACAAACTGTGAAAAAGAACACATTCATCACCACATGCCTTTCAAGTCTCTTTTATTTCTACATAAAACAAAGCAAAGAACAAGAGAAAGGAAAACTGTCAAAGGCAGAACACGTTGGCTCAGTGACAGACTGTGTGATCTCATAGTAAAACTAAAAAGACCTGATGTTCACTGACTGATGTGTGTTAACGTCAAATAACGTGCCGCATCAAACATTTTAAACAGCTAATCAAGTTAATGGACATTCAGAGGGGGATGAAACAACTTTTCCTTCAAACATCGAGTGCTTGATCTGGCTAAAAATTAACTTTAATAAGAAGAAATGATGACAGCAGGAGCTGCCTGAAAAGACAAAGTGCCTGTACTCAGGGGAAAAGAACCATCCCCCTCTTTTTGTCATTTTATGCCTCTAGATGCAACACCAAAGCAACTTCTCCCCAGATAGAAGAGTTGTAGTCTGGACTATTTGCCCACATAAACTCAGTGGGATTACCCTTTCTGTTTGTTCATGGCAACACTGCACCAATGTAAAGTAGCCCCAAAACCTTGGCCAGAGGCCCGTGTGAATTTTAAGTGGCCATTGCCCACTTGTGGATCCTTGCACATCTCGCTCCTTTTCCTCCTCTCCTTTTTGATCTATCAGTCCTCTGGAGATCGCTTGTTTAGGAGAACGTACACATATCAAGGGCCTCCTTTTATTCCTGTGAGGTGCTGGGGCAAGATTTACTTCCCATCTAGCAGCACGATCCCGCCCACTGTCACATTATAGCTCTTTATAAGACAGCCAAAGGACCTGATGATAAGACACTGGACTTAAAACAACTCTGACCATGTGGTGTAAAGTCCTCATCTATGCTGTCTTCCTCACACTCATAAAGCATGGTGAGTACTGTGTCATTACACACACAGGCCAGTCACAGTGGCTGCATTGTTGCTTTCTTCACAGAATGACCAGGTTGTATACTGACAGGTGACACTAGAAATATTCATACTGGGCTATGTCAGATGTAATGTAGATCCATTATTTTGTCTAGATTTTATAGTTACTGGCTAGACGTTGCTATGAAAGTACAGAAAGTGCATGTTGGTTATGTTCAGACCTGTCTCCTAGAATTTAAGTTACAGCTATCCAAAAAATACTTTTTGCGGGAAACATAAAAGAAACCGCACTGTGTCTTTTGAGGATGGATTTTCATTATGTTGATACTGAACATGTCAGTAAAATGTTCATAGACAACACATTTATTTTTCGTCAAAATATCCCGCCGTGCATCTTTGTTGCATTTAGAAAAGACGTTCTGATTTATAATAGAACAGCATTTTAATTTAACAGAATTTAAAGATGGTGTTGTACTGGACTACATTATATTCAGAGGTGTCGCTATATTCTTGTCCTCCTTAGCTACATACATGAGAGGGTCACAATATTAGGAACATAATGTGGTCCAGTACAACACCACCTTTAACTATGACCTCAGCAATAAATATAATTGAATGTATACATCTATGACAATTTCACCAAAAAGCTTCATAAACACAGATGTTAAGAAAGAAGTGTTGCATTGAATTTCAACAACTATGCAGGTGTACCTAATAAAGTGGCTGGTGAATGTATATGTGAGATCAAAATCAAACTTTTTTTTTCCAATATAGACTCACAAATAGCAATAGAAGAGTTTATCAGGTACAGTCGAAGAATATTCACTGAGAACAGTGACTAAGCTGTTGCTTATTCAGGAGTGAACTCACATTAGAGGGTGGGTTTCCTCTGTATTATTAAGTGATGATATTATGGCAATTACCATGGTTTCAAGCAGTGAAAATGTTATTGTAAATATTCCTCCAATTAACAATTAAATAGTAATTTAGTGTATACTCACATGCTCTCATCTGGGTTGAATGTTTCAGAAATGTTACTTAATCTAAATTGTGGATCGATTTGAACCATAAAATGAAGTGAAAATGTTATTGTAAATATTCCTCCAATTAACAATTAAATAGTAATTTAGTGTATACTCACATGCTCTCATCTGGGTTGAATGTTTCAGAAATGTTACTTAATCTAAATGTGGATTGATTTGAACCATAACATGAGTATTGCTTCACTGGTGGATTAGTAAAATGTGTTGCACTAACTGGTTTAAATACGTTTGTAGTAAAAAATACACTTAACCAACAAAGCACAGTATTAGTCATAGATCTGACATATTTGTTCTTTTCCATCCTGTCATAATTAGCACATCTGTCACACTCAACAAGAGTTGCAACATAACACTTCACACTAAAAAAAAGCTGTTGCTTGCTTTGCCTGTGTTAAGTACTTTATTTATTGGAAGGTTACTCATTAAGCTGACAGGGTGGTGAGTGCTTGGCAGAAAGGCTTTTACATATTGAACAAGGTACACTAACTGGACAAGAAATATTTGCTCGAATAGTTGTATTTTCTTGTACTGTACTTTTGTCTTATGATAAAAACTTCTTAAAAAACGTAAGAATATCACTCAATGGGGAAATTTTGTGACTTTTGATGAACAGCATCCCTGTGGCTATAGGAGACAGTTACAGTACAAACAGACACTGTGTGTCTGCAGTATGTCTTGTTTTAACTTTGTGTTAAAACCACTGTTTGTCCATGTTACTAACGTTGGTTATACAGGCTAGCTAACAATATATCTGCTATTGGTCAAGTAAAGCTGTATAAGTGAGACACCTGGGTGTATTTACTTGAACAAAGGTGGCTTTTTTATTGCTTATGGATTCAAGTTATCGTTTGTAACAGAACAATCGTGTTACATTATTTCTTATTTTGAAACAATACAGCTTCCAAAGAGTTACACGATGTAAGCTATAGCTGGCTTAGCTGGACCCGGGTCATAAAACTCCAGCTGAAGCTCGGACTCAATCATTAACCAAATATTAAAGGATAAGGGCGGTCATTACTTGTACTAACAGTATTTGTCTACATTTCCCATACAGAGACTAAAACCAACAGTGATTTTCAACAGTACTCTTCCAGACACACTTGTTTATCAGCAAGCCGCATGAATGCATGTTGTTACATAAAGGCTCTTGATTTACTCTCCATCTAAAGTTTCCTTCTCTGCTTACAGCATTATCAAGTGAAATACAGACCGGCCCAAATACAAGTGCAACCCTCCCCTGCAATGTGACGTTCCCTGTTTCTGTAAAAGAGAACAAAATAGACTGGTCTCTCATCTTCGTCAGCTGGATAAGTAAAGGCTCTGACATCGCTTTATTTGGAAAAGCAGCAATCCACATAAAAGAGGGTTTCAGATGGAACACCAGTGACTTCATCAATGGGGACTTTTCTCTGACCATCCTCAAAGCCAGTCTCAACCTGCAGGGGCTGTATGAATGCATGGTCAGCTACAACTCCACAATGCTGCACTCCAGTAATGTTACATTTAGTATCCTCGGTATGTCTTTGTTCAGCTGGTGACCCTTGATTTGAGCTTTCAGTATTTATTTGAACCTAAAAAGGGACAAAGCTGAACTCCTGCATATTCCAGTTTCTTCTTTCTCCCCTTTTTAGCTTCCCCGACTCTCTCAATCCCACACCAGTGGTTTGTGTCAGAGAAAGCGAGCCAACTTAAATGCCATGCAGATGGTTTTTACCCTCCTCCTGTCACTTTTTCCTGGACCAGAGATGAGGAAGTGGTTCAGCCTCCCTACCAGGTTGAAGGTGAACAGACTCCAGATGGGTACTACATGGCAGAAAGCAACCTGACCTTCTACCCTTCCCGTGGGGACCAGAATGTGACTTTTGGCTGCAAAGTGTCACATAGTGGCAGCTATCGTGAGCTGGCTGTCCAAATCAATGTTACCTGTGAGTGACATGAAAAGTTATCACTTTGGACATTTGTATTTTAGGAGTGAGCACAATGCATTTCATATTTGATCATATCTGTATATGCATTTTAATGTTTTTTCTGCTTCTGTGCATTGTGTTAAACACTCTAAATTGCAGCTGTGTATGAAAATGTGCTATAGAAATAAACTTGACATGCCTTGTCTCTCCTCAGACCCCCCTTCTGTTAAACTTTCTTCTGTGACCTCGCGCTCCAACAACAGTCCTCTCACTCTTTACTGTGATGTGGAGAGTTTCTACCCAGAAGAAGCGTCCATATCCTGGCTTCAAAATGGCACAGCCCTCCCTGTACCCCCCACCCCTGAGCAGAACCCAGATGGGACCTTCAGAACTAGACACTATTATACTTTAAGCCTTGAGCAGAGGGAGCGGGGTGGGATGGTAGAGTGTGCAGTAAATCAACCTGGGGTAGCGCCCCCAACCAGTGCATCAGTGTACCTGGACAAACTGGACCTCCGAGGTAAGACTGTTATTATAGGACATGACACCGGAGACAAGATTTTCTACATTCTTATCAAGAAAACAAAGACAAATATTTTTCCTTGTACTCATGATTGTCACTGCATATTGCAATAAATGCATTGCAAAATTTAATAATGTATAGACAAGTACATGGCTAACATTTCTATTCATGTGTCCTGTCTCGACCTGTCAAATAAAGAGCCTGTGTTGACTAAATCAGCCAAAGCTTCTGTGGCTCTGATGTGCATTTCTATAGTGCTCGTCTTCCTGCTCTGCTTTGGATTTTCTTGGAGGAGAAGGGATGGTGAGTCCGAACCTGTCATGCAGTTAAGCAATAGCATATATTTGTGTCATCTTAAACCTTTTGTCTCTGTCACTCAGAGAAACAGAAGTCTCTCAGTGTGTCAGGGATCATCCTCCCTCCACGCATAATTGTAGGTCAAAAGGGCAGAGTGTCAGTCAGCATCGAGGGCAGGAGGGTGGAACAAGTCCAGGCTGCGTGGTTCCTCAATGACTCACCTATTTCTGACACTTCACACAAAGGTAGGAGAATTTATACACATCCAAATAATTAGTCCATAATTACAAACTCAAGTTGGGCCATCAAACATTGTTCAGACCCACAGAAATTCATTTAATCTCCTCCTGGAAACAAAGTTTACAGAGCCACCGAATGTATCAGGCTAAATTGTGGGAATGATCTCAAATATTTTCATATGGTGTAACCTTAAAACAGGTTGTAAATATTTCATTCAGAATAAATATCATTATTGTAGTTTCAATAAAAGGTTGTAACAAGTTAGTACAGCCTATGTATGATCAATGTCAGTCTGTTTTCAACTTAAAGTAGTGTTTGGATTCATGTTATAATGATAATGTATCAAAATTAATGACTGTGTGTGATATATCTTTTATTTTTATTGGAGCAACTCCTAAATGTTTTTTCTTTTACACTTTAACTCTGATAACAATGCTAACTAAAGCTAACCCCCTAACCACTATTCACTTGTCCTACTAACCCTCACCTCTCCAGCATCAGATGAAGGTCCTCTCCTGCCCTCTAGAGGTCTGGTGGGTTATTACAAGCTTCACTCTCAGGGGCCCCTGCTCTCATCGTCAGGCAGCACTCAGCAGCTGATCTCCGCAGTCACCTTCATCCCCCAGATTTCAGTCCACAGGGGGGCAGTATTTAAATGTCAGGTGTCCTATGCAGGCAAGGACAAGATTGTGGTGGAGAGGGTGTCAGAGAAGTTTACTATTCTGTGTAAGAACATTTTTTTCTCTTATTCATTTTTCCTCTACTGTGTGAGTTCACATAATTTCTGAAATCTTTGTATACCTCCTCTCACTCAGCTGCTCCAGAAGTGTCAGAAATCCAGCTGACAGAGACAACAAATGACTCTGGTAAGGCAAACAGCGTATTATTCAATACATGTAAAACATTCCTTCTAGTTAGAGTCTACATCCCTGAACATTCTCTTCCAGATATCATCAGCCTGACAACCAGGGCATCACAGTTTCATCCAGATGTTATTACCTTCCGCTGGTTCTGCCAGGGAAGTGAGCTGAGACCTGTGGCCTCCCAGGCCTCGTCCTCCCCTCGACCCAACTCTGAGGGCTTCTTTTCAGCCTACAGTCAGTGTAAGTTGCCACGGAGTGAACTGGAAAAGGGAGGCACTAAAGTGTGGGTCAGTGTGCACCACATCGCTCTGAAGCAGCCAGTCACCCGTGAAACCAGAGGTAAGAAAGAGATCAAGACAAGGTATCAAATTTAATGCTACATGCTAACAGATTAAAGTGTAACTTTCCACTTTGTCCCAAACAGGCTTCATCAAGAGGCCATGTGTGTCTGAAGTCATCGGCTCCACTTCTTCACCCCATCAGACTTTGACCCTGGGATGTGAAATAACAGATTTCTACCCTCCAAACATATCAGTCACTTGGCTGAAGCTCAGAGAGGGAGAGCGAGATGACAGAGAAGAGGAGTTGGTAGAGGGAGGGGAGATGTGGGGCCCCATAGAGACTCATCCCAGAGTCTACAGGGCCACAGCCACTCTGAAGAGAAGGGCAACAAATCAGAAGAAGGAGGAGAGAGGAGGCGGGATCATTTGTAGAGTGGAGCACTGTTCCCTACGTGAGCCTATTGAGAGACACTGGGGAAATGCCGACATTGGTATGAACCACTTTTACTGTCAACACCATGCTTTTTTTAGATGATGTCCTTGTGAAAGGGATGATATTCCAACAATATCTCAACCTATAAAAAGCATGCAAATTCACCAGCTTTCATAACTTTTCCTTCACTTAGACTTTCTGTTTGTATCCTCTTAGTTGCTCCCTCCATTCCTCCATCGATCTCAGTCTTTTGGACCAGTGAAGGGGTTGGTGTCAAATTACTCTGGGTAGCGGGAGGACCCACCCTGTCACCACTGGTGTCCAATGAGACAGAGGAGATAGGAGATGACGGACAGAGGGAGCTGAAAAGTGTGTGCGCCCTGGAGATATCCACAAGCCTCCTCAGTCAGACAAACAAACAGCTGGAGAGACAAAAGAATGGAGATGCAATAAGTAATTGTCACTTAATAAATATACGTTTTAATTTAAAAAACGGCAGTGAGTTCAGCTCAGTTTGGACCTTCTCTTAGCTACCCTCTGTTCTTATCAAAATCTACAAGGTTTAAAAGACATGGCTATTTTCTTGGTAAGAAAAGTATATGACCCAGCACATACAGTACACTACATTATATTGGACCCATATTAAGGACTAAATGTGGTTTCTACCATTCTTTGACCGGTCCTTCTATTTCAAGACTCCCAACTTTATTGAATTTCAACACTAAATCATTAGAATACTCCTCTAGTTTTTCAAGAAGGTGGAGGATTTGTTGCTAGCTTTATTTGTTGTTGTATGACAAATCGTTTGCATTGTATGAAACCTCATCTCATATAATTTATTTTTTGCTCCTATGTCTGAGCAAACTGGTGTCACATCTTGAAGAGAGGTTATGATATTATCTCATGCAAACTTTGTGGATGATAGTGTAATCTAATTTTCTTTGACATACTGTAAAATGTTTATAAAATTTCAGATTGTTTCTGTATACAACACTGTATGAGTATAGCGGTGCTGTCTTATTCTTCTATAATGGTGTTACTTTACAGAAACCATATCTGCTGTCACAGACCCTGACACTGAAGGAATAGAGTACATCGATGAAAAAGTGGATGGAGAGAACAACAATGACAGTGATGAGGAGACAATGTCAGAGGTGGATGTGGACAGTGACAAAGAAAGACAGGACGACCCAAGCGCGCTGCACATCAACAGAGTAGACTTGATCAAGGGTCCCAAGGAAAACGAGAGAGCACGGTTGAGAGTCTGTGTGGAGATCACACATCCCGCACTCAAGCTTCCTGTTTATCGAATCTGGACAGGTAAGAAACTGCAAACAACTAACTTGTGTAGTTACAGAGATTCAACCTAGAGGTAGTAAACAAATACAACTGTAACCCACCTATACCCACTGTATAAGGTAAGGGCCCTGAGTTCAATTAACTGTAACTGACAAATCTTAAGTCGGTAATAAAGCTCTCTACATTGTGTGCCCTTAGGTCCTATGAGTACTGTATACAACAACCAAACACAAATTAAAGTTTCTTAATATACTGAACAAAAAATCAGGGTAAACCATAAACAATATAAATCCCCTTTAAATATGTCTGACCATTTTCTGTGTAAGACACATGTTTCAGTATTTCAAAATAAACACACCAATGTAGTGGGCCCACACACCACACACTCACTCACTCTCCACCAGCCACATATACACTGAGATTTAACCCTGTTACAGGCCTGATGGACGCTCGGTGCAATGAGGCCAAAAATTAAGCAGCCGTTTCACTCATAAGAGCCAAATAAAAGATGGCACCTTACTTGGTAGTTTGTAGTCCAAAGACTGAAGCTCCTCATAAAAGAAATGGCAAAAGGGTTTCAATAGCCACCCAATGCGGAAGTAGTCACAGTCCCACAGGTCCTAGGTGCAAGCAGTAGCGGGAAAGTCTGGAGTACCAGGCTCTGTCGTACCCTCCAACTGGCAGCGCTGTCTCTGATAATGTCCATGAATTCCAGGTCAGGAAGAATGAATCCAGTCTTCGGAGTAGTAATGGTTCTCTGACACATGCGTGGTAGCTCATGAAGTAATTGTATCGAACCACTGTGCCAAGGCATGTTTCAGTCACGTGACTAGTGAAGTTTGAATCACTTGAATGACGTCCGAAGCACTGAACTGCTTCGAACGTCATACAAACCAGCTGATTGGTTCAATTTGTCATGTGAATGACTTTGCGGGATAGAGTTCAGAGTCAGGATATCCCTATTTAGTGGCGTTCATTTGAATTCTTCTTTGCAGAGCAGGTTGGTTTGTTGCTGTTGCAGTTAGTTGCTTTGAGAGTTTGTAGTGTTGTAGCAGATTGTGTATTTAATGGAGAATCAGTGTAGATAGAGAGACAGATCAATAGATAGATAGATAGTAAGTCAGAGAAATAGGACCCCAGAGATGAAGGCGGAGGCCTCCGTGATTTGAGGACTTTTGTGTGTCCCCTTGAGGGCAAGGGGTTTTGTTTGCGGGGGGCTGTGTAATGGTTCTGATGTCTAGCATCCTGTTATATGGTTCTACATGTTATTGCCTGAAAGAATGTGAGAGGGGGGCGCTGTGAGGGGTGTGGGAGGAGAGAGCGAAGAAGAGCAGGCAGTTGTTGATGTTGTTGGGGAGTGTTGAATGTTAGGAGTTTTCCAAGTAGAGCTTGTTAGCGTGTGCTGTGGCTGAAACAACAGCATGGAAGCCTGTTAAGTGATTACAAATAAAAGGACATTGATACCGCAAGAACGTCTGGCTGCTTGTGTAGGAACGGAGAGTATTACAATATTTATATATAGAGAGAAAGGGAGGGAGAGTATAGATTAACTATCTACCTAGATATACATGTCTAGATAACAGTTACACAAGCACACCCTCTCTACCCACGTACCCATGAACCTCTTTACCAAGGAACCCCAAAACACACTTTGCTGAAGTCCATACTATAATCTGTTTTGCACCAGTCCCATGTGCGAATGACATCTATCTGAATTTGTGGAGCACATCTCATGAATGTAGTAGCACCATTTAAATGTTTCAAAACACAAAATATAAGTGAAGAGTATATAGGGTTACAATCAGACATGCCAAATAGGAGACATGGCATTCAACATGAGTTCATGTTTATTTTATATTTTACTGTGTCAGCTTGAAACCATACAACCATGTACTGTAGTCTAGCAGGCAATCAAATCCCAAACAATCCATAAACCAATGACACGTCTTGATTGCATTTCATTTTATTGAGCACTAGATGTCCTACTGGAGCACTGTGTCACTAAGGCCTCGAGTAATGAACCATTTTTGTGAATACTGTGTCGAAGCTTCAACAAAGCCTCAATCAGCCATCACTACTTGGGAGTAAGCCGGGTTAGCTATACTGCCACTACCAGCATTCATTTAGCTAACGAATGCTAACAAGTTAGCTAGGTATGCTACGAGGCTTGACACAATAACACTACACAGCTGCGAGACAACTCCGTGCAGAAGAATACCCAGTTATGTACTACAAACTATGTAGGACAAATATTTTACAGCAGATTCTTGAGTTGACAATCTAAGATACAGTCCACATACTTAATGTTACTACGTGGTATTATGCAAACCAATATCAGAATACTACACAGTGGATGACCAATAATTATATTTTTTACACACAGCATTTCCTTGAACCTTTAAAATGACATAAAGCACCATAAAGCTTTTAACCATATTTATCTTATGAGTCAACGTATTTATGGTAACTATTGTTCAAATGCAATGAACTTTCTAATGATGTTTAACTATAAGACATATTATTTTTTTACCCAGGTTACACAGCAAACATAGCAATCTGCACGCATGGTGTGGAGTCTACATCATAAAACCCCTAAGGCACCAAGGCCAGGAAATCTTATAAGTTAAATGAAAGTTTACCAGTGGGGCAAATCTTTTTTTTTTTTCTTTTTTTTTTTTTTTTTTTTTTTTTTTTTTTTTTTTTTTGCATAGGGAAAAAGTAAATCATCCACCAGGAAGTTAGTTCATTTTTAGTTCTTGATCCTGTGTCCTCTCTTTCAGAGCCCAAAGAGGAACTTTCATCTTCTGCTTGAAAGCCCTGGTGTCTGCAAGAGGTCATGTATTCCTAACATGTATATTTGTTTCCATCTGTATTCTTGTCCTCTTCTTTTACTTCCAGAATTAGAAGTTTGTATTTATTAACATATATTTTTAATCTGTAATCCATTACATTTTCTTCCAATCCCAAGACTTTTACATATATTCATATTGTTGTACAAAAGGTACAACAGGAAGGTTCCCAAATACCAGAAGAGGTGGAGGGCAAAGAGTTGTAGTACCAGAGATCAATAGTAAGAAACCACAGAGCATATTAAGAACATGGTGGAATATTTCACAGTACAGATACTGCCAGGCATGTACATGCTAACTGGGCTGGAAAGGACTGAAGAGATATATAGGATTTAATTTAAGAGAGAAATTATGATGTACAGTGGGTGTCTGGTTTGTGTGGATGACCAAAGGTTTGATTGCTCAGTGGTTCTGTTCAACCTATGTGATACTGTTAAGGATGCTGTGGATGAAACATGGCAGTAAGGGAATGTATGTACATTATTTAAATATTTTATTTATTTATCCTTGGATGTTGTATGTTACACTTGTGTAAGTTTTAATTGTTCAGCGTTTATGTTAATGGTTTAAACAATAAACATATTGTGGGGGCAAACAAAGACAGCCATGGTGACAAAATCTTAACCCAGTAAGATCTCAAGCTCGTGTTAAAGCAATATTAATGTATCCCTGTGTATGTGACAACAGGTCATAGTTGTCATTTGTCCTGCTCTCCACACTGACCCTGAATGTTTCCACCCAAAAATGAGGTCCAGTGTGTAGAATATTTCAAGCTTTGAACATCATGAACTGGGTGATCCACATGAGCCACAAGTGTTTTCATGTCTAGGGATGACATTCAAATGAAAATCACATATGATCAATATTTCCTTAATGAAGTTGAAATGAGTGTAAAAGTACTGTACATTGATCATATTCAGACCTATCTCCTGAAATTTAAGTTATAGCTATACAACCGAACTGCAACAACAACAAATTTTGAGGCAAACATAACTGTGACCTGACTGTGTTTTTTTGCCAATGTTACGAGAATGCATTTTAATTTAAATAGGCTTGTTTTTCAATATTTTGGGTGTGATAGCCCGTTCTCTCTGTAACACTATATTACATGCAACCACACTTAAACTATTGAAAATCTGTTTATGTGGTAAACATCATATACAGCTTTACCCATCACTAAAAACTATTTCAAACACTATATTATAGTTGAAATGATAATAATAAAGATGACTCAATAAAGACAGAAAGAAATTAAACATTTAGAAATTTTTATTTAGATTTAAAGAGTTACAGCATAGAAGCAAACAGTAATGCAAAATATCAAAAATCAACAATCATTCTTTGATTCATTTACAACTCTCTAAATCAATGAAAGCTATTTCTATTCATCAATTTAAAATATTATTCTGGTTAAATGTTATAATATATTATGGATGACGACTGAACCGTGTCTGGAGCTGGGGAAAGGTTCTCCAACATAACTATATTTTCTTACAACTGACATTAGAGAATAGACACAGTTTGGGTTAAATGAAGTTTGTGTCACATTAAAAAAGGCCAAGAAGAAGGAATTAAGTGCAAAGAAAAAGGGATCCTGCTCCAAAGACACAGTGTGGAAACCAACCCAACCATAACTGTATGTTATACATATAGTAAGAAGAATTTGAAACTTTGTAAAATGATTTAAGTGTTGAAAAGTTGTTAGTTTAAAACTGAGCTACAGAGCTAAAACATCCTGAAGAAACACTGGCACTAAGATGGAAATGAATGCAAGCTCAGTTGCTGTGGCTGTCAGGACAGCTGAGGATGGAGTACTAGTCAGAGTCAGATTGGGAGTAGGAGTCATAGCTGCTGAGGTTGCAGTGCTGCGACACACAAAACTGCTGTCTGGATCAGTGCCACTAGAGGTGAATGTGACGAAGATGACATTTGCTCCGGCCACTTGATCTTTGATCCAAGCCTGGAACTGAGAGACTCGGGTATAAACTTCAGGAAATCCAGCTGTGGCACAAGGTACTCCATAGCTGGTGATGCCAGCCTGGATCCACACTGAGCCTTGTTTGCATTGCAAAGGTCCACCAGAGTCCCCCTGAAAAAGGAAAGATGAAACACAAAAATTTAAGCCAGCTCAGGAAGTTTGACCTGCCCCAGGAGCTGCTGATACAATTCTATAGAGGAATCACTGAGTCTGTTCTCTGTACTTCCATCATTGTCTGGTTTGGCTCAGCAACCAAACAGGACAAGTACAGACTTCAGCGAGTGGGAGAAGTGACTGCAAATATCATGCTTCATGTGTGATACAAATTAAAATGAACTTGGCCAATATCAATTATAAAACATCAGAAAAATGTTGGTTGTATTTAAGGAAACCATTTTTTGTTATTTTTCATTCATGAATAATGACAAGCATCACATTTTCACTCTACATGGGGCGGCACCAGGTGTGGTCAATCAAAGTTTGGTCTTGTGCAGCTCCTTACTTATATCATGGTGAAAGTGGTGATGAGTGAAAGTATTTTAACTACATGTGTGAGTATATAGGAGTTTATTCTTGTGTCAAGTAAGGAAAAAACTTCAAAACTAGTCAGTCATGCTACTAATGTTGCATCAAGGGCTTTTCATTTTCACCTGACATGTTCCTTTGTTCTCTTGACCGGCACACATCATGTTGGTAGTGAGGTTTACTGATGGTATTGGGATGTAGTCGCAGCTGCACTGTTTGTTTCCAACAACAGGAATCTGGACCTCCTGAAGGAAGTTATAAGCTTGATTTGGCTCTGTGAGAGAAAAAGTATGAAATCTGTTTGTTGTCTTCCAGTTGTAGTGATCCTAAGGTATTGATGAAGATAACTGAGTCTTACAAGCACAAAGGATGACAAGAAACTTTTGTTTTTTGTAATATTTTTTCACTAGGCTGCCTTGGTTTTAGCCCCAGTCAAGAAAACCCTAAACAGCAACTACTTTAAAAGGAGCAATTTAATAATAAATAATAATAGCTACTGACACAGAATGCCCTGACAGAAATGTGTTTGAATGCTTATTCTATATCCAACTCTACAACCTGAAAAGATACTCACCATTGCTTCCAAGTCTGCCCCAGCCAGTGGCCCAGCAGGAGGTGGAGGTGTAGAACTGGCTGGAGTTACTTGCCAGGCAGACAGGTCTGATGTAGTCATTGAAAGTGACAGGGCTGCTGAGCTTCATTAGGGCAATGTCATTGTTGAACAAAGTGTTGCTGTAGTTAGGATGGGCGATGACTTGTGACACAGTGCGGGTCACCTGATTAACATTAGGGCCACTCTGAGTCAATTTTCCAAAGTAGAGAGTCCAGACGCTAGTTGAATTTCTGGAATTAAAATAAGACTCATGAAGTTAGGCAGTGTACACACAATTCAGTCTCATATTGCAGGATAACCCATGTCCCAACACCTTTTCACTGTTAAATCATGTAACAAGACCTTTACTGTATGTAAAACTAAGAAACCAGAAAATGTGAGCAGACCTGAACCATGACAGAGTTGCACCTTTTTCTAGTCAACATTCATCCCAGGTTTGCTCAAATGTAAATTACTTTGGGTCATAGGTTTGTGCAAAATTTGGAACAATCCCAACAGGACTTGAGGTGACACAAGGCTGAGTCACAGCAACACATGCTGCTTTGGTCGGGCAGTCTGAGCCACCATGGGCTCTTGGTTTCAGTTTGGTGTTCTAGTAGCACTGTCACAGCTGTGGTTTAAATGACATAGTTGCATCCAAACTTTTGTCATATCTGTGGCCAAGTAGTTTTTTAACAATTTACGCTGTATATTAACTGCTTTATTAGATGAAAAAAATTTGAAACATGATGAGACCAATATGATGATGTGATTTGTGGTTTTCATGTGGAAATTATTAAATAGATGGACATGAACTTTCATTTTCATTTCATGTACCTAGAGGATGATAAAGTGACATTTCCTCAAGTAAGATTTTTAGTTCTGATCCTCAAGGAAATATGACAAAGAAATAGAGCGAAATCCAAACACATGAAGAACAAATGAGTATGTCTTACGATATAATGCAGTGGGCTGCTGTGAGGACCCACTGGTCACTGATGAGGGTCCCTCCACAGATATGATATTCTTTATGGTACACACTGACCTGCCAGGGCCATGACCCAGCTGTGGCGTTCACACCACCTACTATCTTTGTGTTCAGAGGTGCCACACCACAGTCTGACAGAGCATAAACAACTGTGTGTCAGTACATGTACAGTTAGGTTAGGAAGATTCCTGTGTGAAGCTAAAATGTTTCTTGTTTGTGTCTGTTTGTCCATAGTTGTTGTCATAGATTGTGTCTTCATATGTTGTCAATAGTTTGATGTTACAGTTACTTTCATGTATACAGTGCAGCAAAGGCAAATTAGATAAGTGGTATTTAAAAAAGCTATAATAACTGATAAAAGGCAGATTGAAGAACACCTTCACAGTAACAATGCAAGGCAGGTTTGGAAGGATGCGCAACACCTTAATAACTACAATCCTATTGGCCACACATCCATTAAGAAAGATTCAGGTTTGCTCGGCACCACCTGCCTCTCTTTTTCTTTCTCTCTCGCTTTTGTGTTCTCTCCTATCTCTCGCCAGATGCGGGCTCCCTGGAATGTGGCTCACAGCTGCAGCGCATCTTGTAATCATCGATGCTGCTACTTAAGCTCCAGAGACCCGCTCAGCAAATGCCAGTTCGCCTGTGATTCATCGCCATGTGACCTTGGCTCGAGGACTTCATTTCGAGGATTACACCTGTACATCTGTGACCTCGAGTAAGACTGTATTTATTATCAAATCTACTTTTCCTGCTGCTGTGCCTTCTCATCCCTGGCACTCGCACTACTCTCCACGCTCCGGAGCCAGCCGAGTGGTTTTCTCCAGTGAATGTGTTTTGACCCCCAGCCAGCTCTCTCCCAGATCAGCTACTAACTCTGAGCGTCCCTGTGGCAGCGCTTCTGTTTCTGAGCTGACTACAAACACTTCTTCTCCTGAGTAGTCTGCTGCAGCGCCACTCCTCCTGGGTCGGTCATCTTCCCCTCTCAGCCACCTTCGGACACTCTTCACAGAAGTTCTGTACCATCTCTCTGTCCTCGTCTGCCTACCTCCTGCAGGCTTGACCTCCTTCTTGGGCAGCGGTTCTCCTGAACCCCTGTTACTCTTACCTTCTGGGACTCACACTTATCTCGCCACCAACCCGCCGACCCAGGCTGGACCCTCCAGTGCCCTTTATCTGTTTCATTGACTGAGCATTTATTGAAGATCTTTTTCTGACTAGTTCTGTGAGTCTGCTACCCAAGTCCTGCTTGCTTCTCTCTCACCTCCCGGTGAGAAAGGTCCACACCGTAACTGCTTTTTCACCTGCTTTGAGGTGAAACATGTACCTTTATTGTGTTGTATTTCCTGGTCGTTTCTCATGGCACCAACTGATTAAAGGTTTGTTTATACTAAATTTTCATTGTAAAGCACAAAGACAGTAAAGATTTACTTTATACTGTTCTATTCTGTGCAGCAGCTACGGTTCATCACCTGAACATTTACATCGTCATGACTTTATGGAAAATATGAAAAGTGACTGTACTTACCCTGAGCCTTTGACCCTGTAGGGAAGAGGGATGAAAAAGTTAACATACTTACATATGTATTCTTCAGTGTGACTCTGTGTGGGCTTAATTATTAAAAACCAGAGAATTCTGCCATGGTACCTTGGCTCGAGAATTATCAGTGTATGTGTAACCACAGCTACTAGGTGACAATAGACTTATTTATATACACACAACACAATCTCATTAAGCCAGATAGAACTGCCACCCTATATGCAAATGCCTTAGAACTACAACTCAATTGTTTCCTCAGTCCTATTGTCATTGCCATTCATTTTATGTAACATATAACTCATCAAACAGGTTTGACTTATTGCAGAGATATACAGGATGTCCGTCATTAAAATCATGTTGATAATGAACCTGAACAAGACTTACTTTAATACTGTATGTGAAAGTTTTACTCTTAAATCACTGTACAGCTAGACTATACTGCACCCACACCTCATATCAGTGAATTCAGGCTGTTTTATGGGCAGCTTTACAATATATCACAGGATTCATTTCAGTTGTATTTGTCTGATATTTTGGTGTGTTATGTGATTAATTGTAGCTTTTTCCTTTTCAGCTGTCATATATCAGTATGTCCATGACATAAAGGAAAACATTTTCCCTTGACCCCTGAAGGTGTTTAAGCTTGGACCTTTATACTATGGTTCAATGAGAAACAACATTTCAGTTCACTGTACGTTTCTGAACAAGGTGTGAAATGACAATAAAGCTTGATTTGACCTGGGACAGAAGTGAGGTCACTGACCTTGACCTTTGACCACCAAAATCTAATCAATTCTTTCTTGAGTCCATTTTATTGTTGGAAACTGAAAAAACTATGATCTGCAAAGTTTCCTCTTAAATCACTGTACAGCTAGACTATACTGCACCCACACCTCATATCAGTGAATTCAGGCTGTTTTATGGGCAGCTTTACAGTATATCACAGGATTCATTTCAGTTGTATTTGTCTGTCTGATATTTTGGTGTGTTATGTGATTAATTGTAGCTTTTTCCTTTTCAGCTGTCATATATCAGTATGTCCATGACATAAAGGAAAACATTTTCCCTTGACCCCTGAAGGTGTTTAAGCTTGGACCTTTATACTATGGTTCAATGAGAAACAACATTTCAGTTCACTGTACGTTTCTGAACAAGGTGTGAAATGACAATAAAGCTTGATTTGATCTGGGACAGAAGTGAGGTCACTGACCTTGACCTTTGACCACCAAAATCTAATCAGTTCCTCCTTGAGTCCATTTTATTGTTGGAAACTGAAGGAAACTGTGATCTGCAAAGTTTCAAATAACTGATAAATTATAAAGTACAATTTTCTACTCCAGTAAAATGCAGGGCTCGTCTACCTGCTGTTGAGTGTTACAGCCAGATGAAGAAATTAGAGCCATTTTTAACTTTTCTTTAGTCAAAGTTTTCCAATTAATCCACAGATTTGGCAACAGGCCTCATTGTCTCAAAACACTACACACAATTCAAAAGGACCACACAGCCAAAGTACTAAACACTTGACACATTACACACAAAACTACAAAAACATATCAAAATCAAACATTTTAGTTTGAAATAAATTGTACAGGTGTACCTAATAAAATGGTAACTCAGTGTAAAAGCTCACCTTGCCCAGTGAGGACCACACACATCAGGACTATCCAAAGAGTCCGGGCTGCCATACTGTACTGTCAGTGCTTGTGTCTAGTAAGTGCAGAGAGTCTTCGTGACTTGGCTTTTATATAGGCTTCATTTCACAGGATACAGAGACCAGTTTTTCTTGATATTTAAGTAGTTCTGCATTGGCAAGCCTACATGCATTCCTCAAAGCATGACGTAATTTGTATACAGTAAAGTATAAATGTTTTCTGAATAACTTTTTTGGAAGCATAAGTAATAACTAGCCAATATTTCAATAGTCCAGATGTTGTTTAATTGTGGTATGTGATCTACAATATGTCAAGTTTAAATATACCTTGACCACCGCTGCCCATGGAAAGTGGACGTGCAACATTATTAGCGCCTGTGGTATGAGGGCCATGGCATGCTTGTCAATTTCTCACACTGGAAGTAAGGAACACCTCTTTTGTATGATCTTACGGAAATGACAGCTCATTGCGTATCTTTCAACATTGCAACACTATATTACATGCAACCACACTTATATTGTTGATACTCAGATTTTACAACAGCTTTTTCTCTGTGGCAATAAGACCGATGGCAAATACAAAAATCTGAGAAATGTGCAATAACCCCTTACTAGACATTCGTAATAATACAGAAATGCTCCACAAGGTATTTTTGTAAGAGCATCTCAACAATGTTGTCTTGTGGGACCTTAAGTAATAGGAGGACATTCTCCATCAAGCAATGGAAACGAGCCTGAATATAAACCGTTTTAGTATGCTATAACCACTCACTACCTCACCCAGTGCAATGACATATCCAACTCCACCATGTGAATTACTAAGTGTGATGTTTGATTTGATTTATTCTTTCAAGCTTGTAAAAACAGTTGATATGACAACACACATAATCCAATAAGTTCACTGGGGAAAAGACCTTTACCCTACTTTTGTGTATTGCCATCTTACTGCGGAGACTTGAACATGTAACTGGGATTAAAAGAACTTCGCTAAGTTGGTTCAAATCTTATTTATCAGAAAGATTTCAATGTGTTCATGTTAATGACAAATGTTCCACACAAACTGAAGTTAGTCACGGCGTTCCACAGGGCTCTGTGTTAGGTCCAATTCTCTTCACTTTATACATGCTCCCTTTAGGCAATATTATCAGGAAGCACAACATAAATTTCCATTGCTATACAGATGATACTCAGTTATATTTATCTATGAAGCCAAATGAATCAGGTCAGCTGGTCAAACTTCAAGCATGTCTTAAAGACATAAAGGCCTGGATGACCTGCAACTTCTTACTTCTAAACTCTGACAAAACTGAAGTCATTGTGCTTGGGCCTGAAAACCTTAGAAATCTGCTGTCTAATCATATAGTTACTCTAGATGACATAGCCCTTGCCTCCAGTACTACTGTGAGGAACCTTGGAGTCATCGTTGATCAGAATATGTCCTTTAAATCACACATAAACCAAGTCTCTAGAACTGCCTTCTTTCACCTGCGCAATATTGCAAAAATCAGGAGCATCCTGTCTCAAAGTGATGCTGAAAAACTGGTCCATGCATTTGTTACTTCCAGGCTGGACTACTGTAACTCTTTACTATCAGGATGTCCCAATAATTCCCTAAAAAGCCTCCAGTTAATCCAAAAGGCTGC